TATTATAAGGTACTGAATTCAGTTACTTCATCTATTATTATTTTTTGCATCGAATATTCTGTAACTAGCGCTTCCAACATTTACCACGCTAGTGTTGTCATTAATGTAGATGTTTTTTATAATAAAAAAGTAAAAACAGTATTTTGCTTCAATTTGGGCTGTATCGTGTTTTAATTAATTTTTGAGTGAGTTAAATAAAACGCGGTCGCTAACGTCACATTGCAGATGCAATGAAAGGCGGAGTGTTGCCAGTGTTCGCTGAGCGCCGACCGCTCAAGAAATGGCTGACGTACATGCATGTCCCAGGTCTTTGCTTTTCCTTCATCTTTTTGTTTGCCTTTGTTTTGTTTGCATTTGCATTAAAATAGTCAAGTCTGACTTAAAGGTCTTAGTTACCAGGTCATAAAATCCCTTAAAAAAATGTTTGCGTTTGCCGATGTGCGAGTACGAGGTTTGTATTCGATTTAAAAAAAATACCGGTTCTCAATGACCTTTGTCATAGTTTATCACGAATCACGATTGAACTATCGATAAATTTACTCACGAGTCAGTGGGCCGATGATCGTCAGTACAAGATGTTTTAAACAATAGAACGGTGAGAGTGTCGACTCGAGATACATCTCTATTATGATTCGTCGGACAGCGAGGCAGTCGATTATAGTTTTAGATTCGATTTTAATTTTGTTTCGACTGTAATTCGTTCCATTGCTCGAACATCTCGGAATCGCCTATCATTAGTTCATATAAGGAACAGTAGAAATGTTTTAAAAGAATAAATTCAACTAATTTAAACTATTAAAAGACGCATGTTATTTAGATGATCTGATCATAGTTCTAACACAATTAAATTTATACTACAATTTAACTGTATCCGAAACCAATGCTATGCTTCTGTGATATGTTTCTTGTTCTGTGATTAGATTATCTACATATGACGTCACTTGCTTGTAGTATAATCTCTGGTTTTGATGTTGACTTACTGGTTTAATTCGATTTTTGCCGCGTCCATAGTTTTCAATTGTGTTTCGTTGCTATCATTGCATTTGCTGTAGTCGCTTCATGTAATAGCTTCATCGTATCAAAATCACATATACTAAGCCAATACACCAATGCATTCTTGTATAACAACATAGTGTGACGGTAAATGTTGGTAGCTATATTTTTTTAGCTTCGATTATAAAATAAAGCACATCTGTGTTCCTCAATAACGTAACAAAACTAAAAATCATATTGATAGTGTCATTTTTTAACACAACTAACCAATGTTACGAGATTTTTCAGACATATCCTTGTATGTATATAAATTTGCAGACACTCAGAAATCTGTCGATACAAGTCAGTCGACGAGTTCGAATACGGACGAAGCGAATCGAGTCGAAGTAGCAACGGGCACGCTAATAAACTTGGAGTCGCCGGTGTCGACGAGTGAGGCCATGTCTACGTCCAGCGCCGCTCCCCAACCCGAGGACCAGTTTGACTCTATAGAGGCCAGCGATCAGTGGCAGAACTCTAGAATGCAGCTATCCACCGTTAGCAACATGTTAGTCCATTTTTTTTATTCTAGAACATAACCCTTATAGAGCTTTGTAAAGCTCCTAGCGAGAGCCTATTCTTAGCGATAGTTTTTTCCCCTACCTATGCTGATAGGCTTGAGAGGCTATATCAGTGTTACCCTAGCGTGTAGGTGAGCTCACGGGGTTCGAACTGGGTGTGTTGCTAACACGAACCCTAGCAAGAGCAGTGCTTCGCAGAATCTATCACCGGATCGGAAATGCTACCCACTGAGATGATCCGGAGAGAAACTCAGTGGGCTGTGTCTATGGATTAGTTTACTCCCCGAGCCCTACCGTCGCCTGCGACGGGTTCGGCGTGGACGGTGACCGGTGCTTGAGGTACCTAAAAGCACCGTTGATCAGCATAGTCGCATGAATCTATGCAGATATACCGAACGTCTTACTTATACTGACGTAATTACAATTATTTTGTCAGAAATATCTATTCAAAAGTCAGGAGTACTATAAAACGATTACTTTTCAGAACTGACATGGAATCCAGCGTAGGAAGATTCCCGGGACAGGAGCCGTTGGAGTTGACCGTGAGTTCCGTATCGGTTATGTCTCGCGGCTCCGTTCCTCCTGGCTCGGAGTTGGCGGAGGAGGCGACTCCATGACCTAAGCGTATCAAAGCCACCGCTTTGAAACTTATATAGTCGATACTTCAACGTGAAATATCGATACATATTATGTGCAGTGCGGTGTACTAGTGATGCGCGAATTTAATCGATTTTGACGTGATCACAACTGGTATCGATATAAATGTGCTGAGTGATGTGGAATGATAAAAGGTTGAAGGTTAAAAGGAGAGGATTTTGAAGAACATACAATATTCTCATTAATTTGGATTTTTATGTATATAAAGTAGTTGTATTCTTTTAGTGTGGTAAACTCAACGTCTTTTGTGTTCTGGTGTGATGGATGTTTAAATCGAGAAAAAAAATCGTTTCTACGCATGCAATTGGAATAAAAATTATCAGTTTTTGGATAAACTAATTTGTGTCTTCCAATATCTTCTGAATATCTTTTATCGAATGAAAAAATCCGCCTCAACTCTGATGACTGAAGCTGACTGCGATTCAATATTTACGAATGGAGTGATTTTTTTAAAAAATTGCTTTTGCAGTTTGTTGTAATTAAAAAATTATAATTATAATCTAAACATTCTTCATTACTTAATACAAAATTTTTGTAATTTCAAAAACGAACCTTCAGTCTCTTATTATTACAGTCGTAAATAGGAAAGTTGTCGAGGATTATCGATCCTTTACTGACAAGTCTTTTTATTCTTCTCTCGTTAGTACAAAATCGCTTAGTCGTTTACAATTTTACTTATTATATTTGTTCAATTTCGTATATTAACTGTATTATTGGTTTGTGTTTTTATTTTCCTGTCGCAAACAATTTCGATGCAATATAAATGTGGAATATAAATTATTTAGTTATTTAGTTTTTTTTTCTTTCAAAAATGTAACTGTAGATGCGATGTAATAGCGTAGTTAGCACAAAGTAGTTACGGGGTAGTTGTAATCGACTTCTTTGCTTCTCTGTACTAAGCGTCGTATTATTCGATATTACAACATTTAATGAATATTATGATTATCACAATAATTTGTAACGGTAACTTCTCTTAAGGTTCCCACGTAGGTCTGTTTCGATAACTAAGTCATAGTGATTAGTTCCTCGTAGGGATTTCTCTCTAAAATATCGTTAGACTTTAACAATATGCTTTAACACACGATCTCGCTCGATTCAAGTTTTTTCCCCTAAATATCGAAATCTAGCCCTAGAATACGACCGCGTTTCTCATATCGAAAATAAATAAATACGATGCATGAATAATGACGTCTGATTCGTCTTAGTCTTTAGGAAACGATTTGCAAATCAGTGTGCTTAGTTCGAGTTTTTTTAACGTTCTCGATAACGTAAAAGTTAACTTAAATTTGTATGGAGTTGGAACGTTTGCCTACGTTTGCCGCTAGGGGCGCTGTTCCAACTGCATACAAAATTGAGTTAACTTTTACGATATCGAGAACGTTAAAAAATGGACACTAAGTACACGCTATGTGTGTTGGTAGTTAAGGTGTTGCTTCACGTTGATATTCGTTTGTGGCCTTATTGTGAATGGCGCCCAACGTGGGGCACGTGTTTCTGATATTATCGCACTAGCCGTGCGGTTGTTGGGTATATAAATTTAGAGACGTTGTTAAATGGCGCGAGCCGACCGCTGTGATAGTACGTGCTGTGTGCCCCTTTCGATCCCTAAACGAACAGTTTCGCGAATAACAAATCTAAAAGGTATCATGCAATATGAATAAGGAGTATTAATTAGGCCTATTTTAAGACGTTTTTATATTTACGAAATCGAAATCGCCGGTATGTAATGGCAACACTGCAGTCCCCTTATATCAGTGAATGAAACAGAAAGAAAAGTACTTATTTTTTTTCAAATAGGAAAACTGGTGCACCTTTGTTTTTTTTTTAAATTATAACACGAAGATTGTGTGTCAGATCGATTTAATGCCAATTATGAAAAAAGGGCTTTAAGATTGCCTTTCTAGAATATTAAGCAACGTCAAAACAGGGAAGGGGATTTTGGTTTTAATGATTTTAATTAAGCTAACGTGTCTGTGTTGTTTTAAAAATTGCTTGTTTACGGCGCCGTGGACACAGCAACAATTGAAGCCGACAACGATATTACGTCTAAGTTAGAGGTTAATTTCTGTGGGTGTAATGAAAGAAGTTTATTGTACATACATTTGGTTAAGTGAATAAAATTTTAATGTCGTTAAGGTTTAGAAGATTTAAAGTCGTCTTCAATAATAGGAGTGATATAGTTTGTCCTGATTGATATAGGTTCGTACAATAGAAGTTGCCCGGACGCATTGAGTTATAAACAGACATGTGAAGATCGCGAACAAGACAGTTGTTCGAAAGATAACGTGCTAATAAATATACTTGAAAGTTTTAATTGTCACTAACCGCCTTTTAAATTTAATGAAAACGAGTGAACAGATTTGTCCTTAATTAATCTCTGCTAATAATATAAGTTGGATTTTGAGACGAATGCTATTCGATTTGTGATTTGTTTGTATGTGTGCGTGTCGCTTGAACTGATGACGTAATTCGCGTCGTTTTGCCGACGGAATGACCGTTTAAATATTTTTCGTATATTTTTTTTTTGTTGCGACTGCACACGCACCGCAAACACGTCGTGCGTTAGCTTACGTACTATTTTGTAGTGACCAATTTTATTATTAGACAATGAAAAGAAAATAATAATATGTAAATCTGACATCTGTAATGTAATTTTTATATACAATAAATAGACGATTTTATACAAACCTTGATCTTTTTTTTTATTTTCACAAACCAATGATCACTTGAAAATGTAGGAACAAACATTTCAACTTTAAATGTAGGTACTCGTTGTACATATTAATAATAATCAACAATTTAACCATAAAAAATCTATTTACAATAATTTACATTACTATGTACAAGGAGTCATTATAAAAGACCGTTGAAAGCGTTCATGTTCTGTTGATGTTGAACGTCGAAGTATTGCTTACATTCCGTGACGTCATTGGAGGAGAAGGCGCAGTCCGAATAGTTCCACGCTTGCGTTTCCAAAGTCTGAACACAATCCTGCCCGTATCGATAGAACCGTTGGTCCTGTATGTCCATTATTGGAGAGTTCCTGGTACTCTCTGTTGGATAGTATTGAGCCTCTTCCGGATAATACGGCTGCTGTACGTAAGCCTGCTGGTCGCAGTAGCCTTCGTTCTGTTGATAGCAGCCGCCGAACAGTTCCGGGGACGGGGTTTCGCTGGACTCGGATCCGGTGGGATGTTGCCAGTCCAACCAATACGGATCCTCGGGCCTAGAGTTTTCACTGTTTAAATCCGCGAACGTCGGTGGAGATTCTAGGGTGTTTTCTTCCATGGGATAGTCTAGTCTTATTGGTTGGTCCAGTTGAAATATTTCCTCTGGATGGAAGATGTCGTCAGCCGGCAACGCGGTCGGGTCGTAATGTTGTTGGACTGACAGTGACGGCGCTGGCGGCACGGGAGGGACATAGGTCGTGTAGGTCTGCGCTTCAGAGAGTGGCCACGTTGAAGCCATGCAAGGCTCTGACGAAGGGTCCGCGCGCCAGCGACAGGAACATTCAAAAGGACCGCATGTGCATGTTAGTTGAACTGTAAGTAAAACAATTGTTAAACGAAAAGTATCGAGATTTTGAACTAATCGCAAAATTACACCGAATGTAGGAGAACAATTATTAAAATATAAAGACAGGTGGTACAGCGGCGATACTTAACCCAGTAACACTACAAAATGCGGTCGAAAATTCCATTTCCCTAATGCTCTTATACAGTATAGTACGTATAACGTAATACAATTAAAAATCAGCTGAAGTGCAATTCAATAGTAATCCTTAAAAGGCTAAACGCTGCTGTTGGGATTGGCTATACCATTCCATTTTGGTTTCTGGAATAACCTCTCGCATTCTGTTGTAATATTAATTTGGGCATTCAAAATATATAACAGCATACCTCTTTGACTATCCGGAATAAGCGGCGGTGGCTGGGAATGAGGATTAACTAGTTTCTGAGACATCTGCTTTTCTGGTTTTACAGTCATCATTTTATCTGCAATCGCCGCTTCTCTCGCCAGCAGTAATGCTATACCTCTTACTCTTCTACCGGCCCCTAAAGACCGTCGCACTTCACTGGCTCCTTTTGCTTCGGGTCTTGGATGATCATGGGAACCCTTTGCTTGAAAGAATATAGCGTGTTCTGTATGGCGCCAAAAATGCGTGACTGGGTACCCGCAATGACCTCGGCAAGGTTGAACTTCGAGGCGTCCTCCGTTACATAGTCTATTTGGACATGGTTTTCCTATGTAAGAAAAATTTATTTGAAGTTATTCAAGTAACTAATACTTTTGGGCAACGTCTCCAAATAAAATTAATTGATCGACAAATAATTAAAGTATAGAAAAATGAATACTAAGCAATCTTACTTGGGCTGATGAACTCATAGCCCATTTGATGCAATGCGGTTGCGATCATGAAAATTATGACATCGCTGCCGACTGACCCCTTGGGACATGAATTCGAAGTTTCAATTGTATACTCATTGTCCCACCTCTCAAGCCGGAACCCATCAATTATTCACGCCCGAAATATGTATGATGATTGTAGCTGCCGACGCGGATTTGCAATATTAACTACCACCAGTAAAAGTGGATTGGGGATCGTAATACGTTAGTGTAATAGTGGGAGAACGGCGTTGCCCATTAATGGGGAATTCCTTAGCCGCCTTTTACGACAACCACGGAATGAAATGGTGTGTTATCTAGGCCGACGTTGTACGTACAGCTCCTAATAGATTCGGTCCTCTGTTCTCAAGATTGGAATTAGGAAGCCGGAATAGGGCAGTGACCTCTATACACGTCTCTTCTGATTAAAAGCCTAACAACCTGAATTTCATGCAGATGATCCTGATGAGATGGTCTGTAAATTTATATCAATAACAATTACCTTGCTGTTTCTTCCGTGCTTTATCACAGATGGCGGGCCGCAAATGGACCCTGGAGCCATCTGGTAGTCTGCATCTAACGGAGCACACCAACACTCCTAGGCAGCTTTTCTTCAGGATGTGTACATTGTGATTGTTTGTGTTCCTCATGGCCCAGCCCGAGGCGTGTCTGCGTGCCTCCTCGCAGGCCGGAGGGTAGACTCTTCGCACGTGACCGTCGCACCACTCGCCGAACGCGTCGAAGCTGGTGACTCGCGGCACTACAGCGTCGTTAATATCCCAGTCGGCAGTCGCTGCACCCTCGGACATATCAGTGCGACTGGTGCTGTGAAATAATATATCGATAAATCAAATAATTATATATAAAAAAAAAAAACTTTAGCACGTCGAGTTAATTTGTGTTTAGTAACTAGGGTAGTTCATGATTTTTTTTGTAGCTTAGATAGATGGACGAGCTCACAGCCCACCTGGTGTTAAGTGGTTACTAGAACCCATAGACATCTACAAAGTAAATGCGCCATCTGCCTTGATATAATGAGTTCTAAGGTCTCAGTATAGTTACAACGGCTGCCCCACCCTTCGAACCGAAACGCATTACTGCTTCACGGCAGAAATAGGCAGGGTGGTGGTACCTACCCGTGCGGACTCACAAGAGGTCCTACCACCAGTAATCTCAGTATAGTTACTACGTTTAGTTAGTTCGATAAGTAAATGTGAATTGTTTTGAATTGTCGATAAATATATGCGACAATTTATATAAGTCCGTCTTGTTTGAAAGCGAAAGAGTACGCTTAAGCTTCACAGAAAGTTTCGTCCCCCTCGTAAGTGTAATTCAGCCAATTGCTTTAGAATTGCCGTCTGAAGGGGCAGGCGCGCCTTAATTGGATAAATAACTTTGTGTATACAGAGGGAACAAAATACGTCGGCAAATAGACTTTGTATGCACTGATACTCTGTTGAGCTTACGAGATGCTTTTTGAATTTAGAAAACTTTTTTTGTTTAATTCCGAAAAAGCTCACAATAACGACTGAATTTTCTTGGTTTAATAATAAAAAGACGCTGGGTTTTATGAGCATTCTATTTCTATTCCGGCTATTCTAGTACTAGGTTATCAACTTAACCTTAAACTAGCCTATCGCGCCTTTACGAATGATACCTATCTGTGACGGAGGAATAACTTCGTAAAATCAAACAGTTTTCCGAAGTAGTTTACCATATGTATTTTGAAGTGAAAACTACTTTATGAAGACCGTGACTCGACGGAAAAGCCACAATAAAAAAGACCAATAGGTATATACATTTCTAGCATTTAGTCTGCAAGAAAATGAGACGGAATACTTCAGTTATACACAGATACTTTTTTCTATTGTTAAAAAGCTCACGATCTATATCGTGTATGCCACCGCCCCCTTAAGACATTAGTATCAGTAAATTTTAAAGTGCACTGGAATTATTAATACGCCTTTCAAACCAGAACATAAGATTGCTTCGCTACAGAAGTATACAGGAAACAGTACCTAATCTTTTTTTTATTGCTTAGATGGGTGGACGAGCTCACAGTCCACCTGGTGTTAAGTGGTTACTGGAGTCCATAGACATCTACGATGTAAATGCGTCACCCACCTTGACATATAGATTCTAAGGTCACAAGCATAGTTACAATGGCTGCCCCACCCTTCAAAGCGAAACGCATTACTGCTTCACGATAGAAATAGGCAGGGTGGTGGTACCTACCCGCGCTGACTCACAAGAGGTCCTACCACCAGTAATTACGCAAATTAAAATTTGCGGGTTTGATTTTTATTACACGATGTTATACCTTCATAGTGGAAGTCAATCGTGAACATTTTTTGAGTAGGTACGTATTTCATTAGAAAAATTGGTACCCGCTTGGGATTTAAATACCGGTGCATCGCTCAACACGAATGTAACCAGACGTCTTTTCCCTATAGGCCACGACGACTTTAATCGAGGAAGACCCAGGATGTGCGTTTACTTATTAGACTACGAACGCCAAGCGCAAAGTAAAAATGCTAAACTTACAAAAGACCCGTCTTTCTTTGTTGACTTGAATTTTAATTTAAACAGTAATTAATTGTGATCTCGTCATCGCATAAAGGATAAGACGTCCGGTGCATTCGTGTTGAGCGATGCACCGGTGTTCGAATCTCAGGCGGGTACCAATTTTTCGAATGAAATACGTACCTACTCAACAAATGTTCACGATTGACTTCCACGGTGAAGGAATAACATCGTATAATAAAAATCAAACCCGCAAAATTATAAATTGCGTAATCACTGGTAGTAGGACCTCTTGTGAGTCCACGCGGGTTGGTACCACCACCTTACCTATTTCTGCCGCGAAGCAGTAATGCGTTTCGGTTTGAAGGGTAGGGCAGCCGTTGTAACTATACCGAGAACTTAGAACTTATATCTCAAGGTGGGTGGCGCATTTAAATTGTAGATGTCTATGGGCTCCAGTAATCACTTAACACCAGGTGGGCTGTGAGCTCGTACACCCATCTAAGCAAAAGAAAAAAAAAATGAATTGTATGCAGGTGTACCTACTTAATAACATATATCCGAAATATTCATGAAAGCGCACCCTCTTTACCTTGATTTACAATATTGAAATTGAACCCATCTAGGGACTCACTCAAACACAGGAAAAATCAAAATCGATCGAGTCGTTTAGTAATTATAAAAACTAGTGTTCGCCCAATGATTGCAATTCGACCACAATCACCTCAAGGTTTAGATTATATTTGGTTTTTTCATTGACCATTTCAAAATTTAAGAGATTTATCATAAAAAAAAAGATAAAATAATAGACAAGAAAATAAATTCGATTGGGAAAATCGCACTGACTTGTCTATTTCAAAGAAAAAAAAAGTAGGTATAAATCTTCCAAAAATAAAACTGCAACAATAAATTTGTATCAGTTGTGAATGATGTGAACTATGAACCAGTTACTAAACAATAGCTAGGAATATCGTGGAACAAACAATAGAAAATGGTATTTATCTATCTACATATTTATATTTGCCCTTTAAAATTTTATATAGATACATTTGTAGGTAGGTACCTAACATTTCAATATTCTGCCGATCTCGTATTGTGTAACTGTGAAAAAGTTTTCATTAACAATAAAAAATATTAACGAAGTTTAGCAACAGCAGATACCTACGTATTATAAAAACAAAGGATTATGGATATTTGAAAATTGCTAGTAATATAATCCTCAAGAATGAAAAAAGGATTGTAAATTTTATAATACAATTTTTTAGGACTAAATAAGTTAAGAATATTTAAGTACCTACGACGCTTGAATTATTTATCTGTTCTTTTTTTGAAAAGGACTAAGCTTACCTAGCTGAATATATACACTGCTAAACATAACAATAGCTAACTGATTTTTTAAGCTAAGCTTAGTAGTAAGTAGCTACAGATTAGTTTTTATGTGCGTAGATAGGGCCTTGCGTGATTATAGGTATACCTATGAGATTTTGAGACCTTTGAGATTTTAGCAATATGAATATGAAATTAAAGTATAGGTATTTAATTATGTCCATGACTCGTGGTTACCGAAGAAATTACCATTAGGAATTCAATCATGAATAATTTTTTTTATGGAACTATCAATTTGTTTATGGGGTTACCAAATTCTGTATGATTAATGTTTTTTCTACCTATCCTGATAGCCTTGAGAGGCTATTTCAGCTTCTTGTTAACTTGTAGGTGAGCTTACGGGGCTCAAACCGAGAGTGTTGCTAACACTGGCCCTGGCAAGAGCAGTGCTTCGCAGAATCTACCACCGGATCGGAAACGCGAACCACTGAGAAGAACAGGCGAGAAACTCAGTGGGCTGATGGGACTTCTTACTGAATCATAGTTCATAAAGGGACAAACGAAAAAAGGAACAATAAATAATAGCTTAAAAAAAGTAACAAAATACGCTTTTATAGAAAATAGTGTAAAAAAAGTGTAAGAAAAAATTATTTTATTGAAAAAACCGGGGGGGTGCATGGTATCAGTAGTTATAAATATTTTATTAGGACCCCAAATCATTTTTTGTTAGTATTTTTAAATTATTATTTATATTTCATTTTTTAGTTAAATTTCAATTTTTTCAATATATATATATATATATATTTTAATATTGAATTGTCATCGGTCCTCCTATTAAGTATACCAAATTTTGAGTTAATTCGACATTTTGAAAGGGGTCAAAATCAAGTTCAAAAATTCCGTTACAAACACATACCTACCTACGTCTGAAGCTAATAAAAGCGTATTATAAATGCATTATTGTTTTCAAGCACTTAAAGGGAAAGGAGAGCCGAAGACTTGACTCAGTGGTGTAAATTGAGAGAGGAGTTTGTCCAGCTGTGGACCACTATGGACTGATGATGATGAGTTCAATGCTCTCTAGTAAAAAACTGTATTGACAAATTTTACTAACGGTGCATTCTAGAAAATCTTCCATAAATTTATTTTACAAAGTAACACTTGGACTACAATATTTAAAAAGTTTTTTTTTATATATACCATATAATAGGTACTTACAGGATCACCATTTCCGAAATGATAGGCAGCGAACACTGTCACAACTTTTCCAGTTTATAACTATACACACTGTTCACTGAAACACAATTATCACGATGTTGCAAATTATAATAAAAATATGCAAACAAGTCTTCGCGCTTCGAAGGGTCCTGGCCCACTGAGTGCAATAGCAAAAATAAACACAGGGTTGTTTTCCCCGATGTAATGTTAGAGGGGATAATCTGTTCAGCCAACGGTGTGCTACAAGCTATTAAGGTCCGCCTACCGTCCAATCAGAAGGCAGGGTCGGTGACCAACCACATTCGTTTGATGCGATACTTTGTTTTCTGAAAGCCGTTGCGGGAAATTTCGCACGATTAATGTTTCAGGATAAAATTTTGTATTACCACTTTGTAACATGTGCGTTCTACTTAAAACGTTAAGGCGGGTAAAGGTAATCTGAGTCGACTATTATCAAAGCCGGCAATGTGACTTTTGGACAATTATTGGTAAATCAGAAAAACGAATTATTGACTTTGTATTCCATTGGCAGTCACAAAACTCTTCTGAACAACATCTTAGATAAATAACAGATTAAGTATTAACCTTTATTTAATGCAGGTTTTGAACCGTATTTTTTGAAGGAGACGATTATATTCAAATCAATCTGTATTAACATATCAATAACATTTTTTTGTCCAAATGCACAGATTGCCACCTTTGATAATAGACGACTCATCTATTAGACTGTCAAAATTAGACTGACAGATGATTCCACTGATTCTCATAATGATAGTTTACGTATAGTTAAATGTGTTTAAGTATTATAATTCTTGTACAAAAGAACGACTTAAAAATAAGAACGCCTCTAAACCTCGTTTGCTAATTGATATAAACTCTATTTATTTCTGTATCACGAATGGTTTGAAATTAAATTTTATATCATTAGGTACACCCCTCGTTGCTGGAGTAGAATGCATCTGTGCTACCTAAAATTTTATTTACGAACAGTACGTTTCAATTCTTCTTTGTATTATTAAGCTCTCGGTTTGAAATATGCAACGAAGAAAGACAGACATATTCAAAAGTGGTGCGAGGAGGATATCTGATGGCTTCACCGGCCTGGCTGTAGGTACCCCTAATGGGCCACGGTAGCCACTTATCGGAGGAGCCGTGCGCTCTCGTCTCTCTTCGACATTATTAAACTAAAGTTTGATAATTGTTAAAAACATTGAAATATGTTATGAAATAGCCGTGTGCCTGGTAAGATTTTTAATCGTATGCCAGTGTCAATCGACTGCCCTGCGTGCAAAAGTTACGCGAAATTTCTGATAATATTTTCTAAAAAAAGGTTATTTTTGGTTTGGATATAACGGCGAGAAATTAGTTTTACGTAAACAAAGTCTTACAAACGACTACATGTATTGCAAAGTTCTTTAGGTGGATTAATTCACCGATACGTTTTTTTGCTGTCATTTCCCTGTCCGCGCGTAGCTAGAATAGCCTTTTCGGCTTCCAGCGAATAGCCAGGGAAAAAAACTGTCATTTTTTACAGCTCACCGATAGTGCGTAAGAAAAAAATATGTATGAGCTCCGATAACTTCTTTATTTTAGGGGAGCCGTGGGCTCATTTGACCCTCTGCAGCGAAAAATAAGTAGGTACCGGTAAGAACCAATTCCATTTCATGTTTATCTTTATTTTAGCCAACCTATTGCTAGTAATTTCGAGGGGTTATGATAACTTCACCGAATATTAAACCGAACTCAGAAGGTTCAGCCCTGGAGACTTTGTTAATATCTGCCCTAATTGCTGAATCTACCACGGCGACACAGTGAGAAGATCCGGCGAGAAACTCAGTGGGCTGTGTCTGTGGTTGTTTATCTATTTCCATAGATGCGTCGATGCGTGTATCTATAGACTCTAAAACGGCTCAACCGTTCCCGAGGAAATTTTTAATAAATCTTCTGCTTGGCTTAGCTGGTGATCCTGTGAAGTTTGGTAGCGATTGGGTCAAAGTCAGTTCAAATATCTGCCAGCAAAAGGGTGAGTCCGTTTGATGTTAGAATAATGTACGAAAGCCAAGTTTTTTAAGTGCAGAAATCATCAAGACCGTAGGTACTCACATAAATAAAAATAGGAGGGGAAAAGATGCGGGTGCGTTCGTTGCGCTCCTTGGAAACATCGCACTGCGCGTGCGCAAAACGTTAAAGAAAATCTAAAATCGTATTGTAAACCTAATTATTGTAGATATATTGATCCAGAGATACAAACTAATTAATAAACTACTATTGGTCGTCGGAATAAAGATATACCTATGCTGCGAGCTTTTAAATAGGTTTTGAAGTTTATATTTTTGTACCTATTGCATTACGACACGACTATCATATTATCTTTGGAGTCAATGTTGGTCGACTTTATGTAAGAGTTGGTTTAGTGGCGGCAGTTACCAACGAAAGTAAAAACGTTTTATTTTAAATATACAGTTCAAATATTTACCTTTTAATCCCTTTTGAATGCTCTGCTGTATTTGCCGTCGCTCTTGACGGAAACTTTTGTTTTTAAAAAGGTAAATTTTAAGTAGCAGATCCGTAAATTTATTGGTGCCCTCTTTTTTTTTGATAATCCTTTTGCCATTGTGATTCGGCAACACTCTAAAATAGGAGAAACCGACGCTTGTGTCTTCGGACTTTTTAATAACAATTTTATGTGGTTCGGACCAGCGACCCGTCTTGCTCTGTGTTTGCATGTTTTTATGTTCTATTTTTTTTCAATTCGTCGAACGAAGCGCTTTGGGCAGCTTAAAGGCTTTTTTTATCGTACTTGCAGTAAATATCTTAACTAAAAGTGTAAGGGAAGTAAGTGTAGATGCGCAGAAGGTGACACTTTACAAATTTATTTAAGCGATCGATAGTAGATAGATGACACTGTACGGGCTTAGCTGCTAGTATTATATTATCCCCAGGTAGTCGAAATTCGACTATAATTAATTGAAATTATAAGTTTGTACACTATTATGATTCTATTTAATCTATTCTCAATTTGACTACAGACTATAAGCAACAAGAAAAGTTTGACAATAAACAAATAGAATGCATGCGTGTGTGTTTTAAATACATGGTAGTGTGTGTAATATTTTTTATTGATTTAATATTATTAAAGCATAATTTAAAAAAAATATTAGCATTAGGCACTCCTTCTCTATATTTTCTATAAGTGTGGGAAATTTCATACTCCTCCGTCTGCACAATTTTCGTAAAAAGGGGTACAAAGTTTTTGCTTCACGTATTAATATATAGATTGATTGAAATAATTCTATATTTTATCACAACTCTGCTTATTTCTTCAGTGAAGCAGTAATGTGTTTCGGTTCTGGGGATGGGGCAGCCGTTGTATCTATACTGTAAAAACCGAGACTTAGAACTCAAGGTGGCTGGCTGCATTTAAATTATTGATACCTATGGGCTCCGGGCACCATTTAAAACCAGGTGGACTATAATCCATCGAAACAATACAAAAAAAAATTCAAGTTTTTTGTACATATTATTATATATCGATAAATTAGTATCGACACTTTAAGTTCAAAAGAAACAATTTTCGCGGGGCAATGACCGGAACTGGAATAAGCTTCGTACTTGTGAAACTTATCTGTTTTATAAAACTTTGATCGGTGGCTGCAGACGAAGTTACAAATCTTATTATAATAAAGCTTCGCTTCGCAACAACAGTAATCAGAAATTTATTTATTCTTGTTTGTTCTTGCTCCTGAACTATCTAAATTAGATACTTCGTTGTTATACGACCACTAAATAAATAAAACTATTGTATTACACGAATATGCAGTGTGCAGATATATAATAAAGTTTACATACATAGTTTTTGATTGTAACACAACAGGTGAAATGTTGAGTTTTACATCAACACACACACAAGAACAGCAATTACTGATTTCCTGTCTGAGAACGAAGGCAGTCCCCTTCCGTTCTCGCCTGAATGCCAATTGTCGCCTGAACCGAACCAATCGAGAGCAATTCGCGTCCCCGGGACCAGCCCTACGGAAGTCGACGATTTGCAAAATTGAAAATAATTCAGTCGAATTGAAACATGTGCTTCTTCTTTCTTATACTCGTTGGGTAATAGGGAAGTTGACTCAATTCTTTATCTTATTTTTATTAAATGTCATTTATTTTTTGTTTTGTTCATTAGATAATGGTTCATCTCGAAACGTTACGATTAATCCGAACGAGCGGGTGAAATCGAGGGTTCAATGAGAAGGCATGCTTTTTTTTCCTACCTATGCTGATAGGCTTAAGAAGCTATTTCAGCTTCGCCGAACATATAGATGAGCTCACGGGACTCGAACCGGAGTGTTGCTAACACTGGCCCTAGTAAGAGCAGTGCTTCGCAGAATCTACCACCGGATCAGAAACGAGACCCACTGAGAAGATCCAGCGAGAAACTCAGTGGGCTGTGTCTGTGGGTTAATTCGCTCGTCGAGCCCTTTATCGCAAGCGACGTGTTCGACGAGGACAGTGACCGGTGCTTGAGGTACCTAAAAGCACCGTTAATGGATCGGGAGGATCCTTTATGACGTGTTTTGGGCGACGTCGACTATTTACCATTCGGTCTACAGGATCGGGCTTGTAATTTCCAGCGGCCACGACAAGAGGGTTCTCATGTCGGGCCGCCTTCTCAAAGTGGCGTAATGATGCCGACTGTAGATACTTACTGACTGAATCAAGCTCCAGTTCATCATGGAGATCCACGTTCCTTAGGAACCATGGTGCTCCGACGGCTATCCTGCAAAAACGGGATTGAATAACCTGAAGGGGTTTCAAGTTGGTGCGGGCCGCGTGAGCGAACACTACGCTTGCATACGTCATGACGGGGCGTATGCAAGTATGGTAGAGTGGAGCATGCTAATATTCTCTGCATCGTACCGATTTTGTAAGATGTAGGTAATACTGAACCAAGTATTTTTGAAAACCTTAATTCTGAGTATAACTAATTATGTTTTAATTTATACTAGTGGTCCTCGGTCGTCGAAATTCGACCATAATTAATTGGAATTATAACATTGTTATGGTTCTATTGTCAAAGATCATATTTCTACATATAATCAGAGATTTAGCCGAGGCTACACTATAGACCGATAACATTA